TCTCCTCCGGCTCGAGGCCTCCTCGAGCCGCTCTCCCCAGCCAGGGAGAGGAGCTGCAGCTCCTTCCTCCCAGCCCTGTCACTGCTGCAGCTGGAGCTGTCAGGGTGGCCCTTTGTCCCTCTTTCCCAGCCTTCCCAGCGCACCATTCCGATGGGAGAGGACAAGGCTGGGAGTCCCTGTGGCGCTCGGGGTCCGGCTCTGCCGAGGGGCTGGTTTGGTGGGGATGGACCACACTGGGCACATCGCCTGTGCCGGGGGGTGCTGAGGGTCCCACTGCCCCAAACTGAGCTGGGAGCACCCTGGCTGCTCCCAGGGGTGCTCCAGGGGTGCCAGTGCTGGGGCTGGGCTGGGTGTTGGGTGCTGGGCACAGTTGTCCCCCAAACACGTCTCTGCTGCTTTGTGGTCAGAGAACAAGTGCTCGAGCGACCGGACGAGGGGGGGAAAGAGTTTTCTGCCTGATATCAGCAACCCCCAGGGAGAAAAATGTGTTCTGGGGCTGTTACATGAGGGGAGAGGTGAGCGAGCAGCTCCTGGGGCTGGGTTGGGGCGTTCAGGACAAATTGCTCCATCCGTGTTTCCCGTCAGTGCCGGGTTTGGCAGCGGCTCCGCAGCCAGTGGGACCCCGGGGTGATGCCCTTGCCCCTCTCTGAGCTGCCCTCTCCTCTGCCAGCAGCGGGACCGAGGTGTCCCCTCTGACATCTCCCTGTGCTGCTTTCCCTGGGGGAGCTCAGGGTGTTTTTGATGTGCCCCTGTGACCCTCCCCTGTGACACGGGGACCCAGCGGGGCGAGCTGGGGAGGGAAGGGAGCTGCAGCTCTTCCCCTGTCTTCTGGGAAAGGGGGTGGCAGCCTGGCCAAGGTCACATTCAGTGACAGGACGGGAGCTGGACTGGTTGCTTTTTGGAGGAGGAAACAGGAATCAGGCTTTGGGATGTCCCCGTGGCATTTGCTGAGCGTGTGATGTCCCCGCTTGGCTCGGAGCAAACCCCCTTGTACGACCTTGAGCGGAGGAATCGCGTCCGTGGCACACGCTGGAGTCCCATCCTGCATTAATAACACCCATACAAAGCTAATATGTTGGGCTGATAAATAATTAAGGGAGAAGGAGAAACCCTCTATGATTTGCTTGACGGGAGCTCTGGGAAGGAAGGGAGTGGGGGGAGGAAGGACGAGGAGGGAGATGAATAATGGATCAAGGTTAAAAGGGGAGCAGAAAGGGAAGCCTGAGCCCGGTGGAGCCCTGCAGCACACGCTGCCAAACTAGTTAGTGGTGGCAAAGGCAGCTGGGACCGGGCCAGGGCTGGGTGACACGGGCTCTGATGACATGAGACACTCAACAGTGGCTTTTGGGGTGGGAGAGGGTGCCCTGGGGCTGCTCTGCAGCGGGCACGGGGCTGGGCAGGGGCTGAGGGCTGCGGGGTGGCCTCGTCCCGCAGTCACCGAGGAGGTGCCAGGCGCTGGCAGCGCGTGGGGACTTCCAGGCACTCAGCACCGCTGAGCTTCCCTGGAAATCAGAGTCACAACGTGCAGGGAATGAATTATTAGCAAAGGGACGAGTCCCTTTTGCCTCCCTGCGCGTGTGACCCCCTGGCTGCCCCCCTGCCCCCTCCCTGCCTGCCCGGGGTGGGCTGAGCTCCAGGAGAGGGCTGGCACGGGGCAGAGCATCCCTGCAGTGCCGGGTTTGGTGCCGTGGGCTGGGCTGGTCTCTGGGAGAAGCAGCTGCAGGATGGGGGGCTGAGCCCTCCGTGGGGTCTCTGGCAGGGCATGGGGGGCCTGGACCCCCCTGGCACAGTGCCCACACTGACGGGCAGACACGAACCTCCCCTCCCCTCTGGCCTGATTTAATTTTCTTTTTGGTTTGTCCTGTGTCGTGTCCTCTGTCTGTCTGTGCCTCAGAGCAGTGCTCAGTTCCCGTGTCTTGTCTGTGCTGTTTTAACGACCCAACGCTGTTTAATTCCTGTTTCACTCCGAACATCGTGGTTTTGGTGGCATCCCAGCCCTTACATCCCCCCCGCTGCCCCGGCCCC